GAATTCGCTGAATACTCCATATCTGATGAAGAACTACCTACGAAATTACGAGCTCTATTCGCGAGCATTATATTGCCAGTAGAAAGCTTTTTTCATACGGTACGTCTTATGACCAAAGACTCTTCTCATGTTTTTGCGACTTCCGATGTGATTTTTTTTTTCAAATTCTCGCATTAATCACAAGACTACTCCAGTAGTTTTATTCTCTCTTCACGTCCCATTGGTGATAAGGCAACAATGCACTTTTTTGATGACCAGCCGTGACACGATATTTATTTCCCAAGGTTGCCCAATCACTATCGATTTTGTCTAGCCTTTTCAGCGATTTTGAGCATTAATCGGAAAGCATGCACAACAAGGAGCCCTGACTAAAGTTGTTGTTTTCGGTGGCTTAGCCCTTAGTTAACATTATCTCATCTCAAGCATATTTATCTGACCCCCTACAAAAGGTTCGTGGCCAACGTAGAACACTCCAGTCGTTAGGCGGATTACTTGAAATGCTGTCTAATCTGAATGTTTACACCCACCATTTGCTCGTATAGACGAAGCTTTGATGTCCCCTCTCGCGGCAGTATAGAAACCATCACTCGGTATCGAAGTTAGGGCAGGTACTTCATCACGGCCATAAGCTGCACTGCTTCTGACTGGAGCACTTGAATGAAGTAGTGATTGGCTCAGAATGCTGTTGCTTATACCTTGCAGAAGACTCGTGTTGGCAGCGTCTCCGACAGGTTGTTTACGATTCCAACAGCAACTTGTCTTTAATTTAGCTCTCGTACAACTCCCGGTTCTGTGAAAGTATTATCGGTAGCAATTTGCGATTGACGAATTGGAACAGAAAGCAAGGTTTGGTTTTTTTTTTTAGGCTAATTCGACTTTATTCTAATTTGTGAGCAGTGGGAATATATGCTAGAGACTTGATTTAAATAGGGAAGGCCCGCAGATAGATTTCATTCAAATTTCCGTTACTTACAAACGTCTAAGTTGCTTAACATTATGCACTCTTCTTATTCTTTGCTTCTTTTTCGTACACTTTGCCAAATTATAATTTAAGGATGTAGATGCGAGAGCCTGAAAAAGGTCGTTGACTGGTGTGGTTGCTCTCCGCTGGTATTCACAAAGGACCACACTCACAAATTCGCCGTCAAAGTAGGCTATTTTTACTTATGTAGGTCATTCGAAGCGATGAAGTAGCATTTTTTAGAATGCAGTGGCGAAGCCGTTCTATTTTGCAAGGAAGTTCGAAAGTCTTGTGGACATCGATGCCATTGCTCTGGCCGAGCTACAAGTAATGCGAGATAGGTGATTGATTTGTTTATGAATAATTCTGGTCAATATTAGAAGCGCTCGAGTTCTTTTCCTCATTTCAGAGCTCTTCTGCATAGAAACGATGTGATGTTCAATGTCACCTTTGTGAACCATTACAAAGCTGATATCGACGGATACTGTATGTTCCTTTTCTTGATTACTGTATGTATTTTTCTTGGTTTAAATGTTACTACCGTTTTCAGCTGTGCATTTTTCGCTAATGGCTGAAACTCTGCTATCTATGCACTCAAAAGAGTCAGATTTTGTTTCGTTAGTTAGGATCGACGTTGTTAAAATGCACTCCTCTGCTCCTCATCAAATGATCTTCACAATTCAGGTCAATCTTTCTTTATTATTAGGTTGTCTCCTACTCAGTGATATACCAATCAGTGTTTTTTCGTCGCTTGGCTGCATCAGGCAGGGGGCGGAGGGTTTCTTAAGCGAATATGGCCAGTGTGCTGTTATTTCCCATCCTGTTCGGGTAATACAATGTCTAGCTTCATGCTTTGATTTCATTGTTATGACAATGAAGAGAGAAAGAAAAAAATGCAAAAATTATAAAATTACTAGGGTTTGTTAAACTGCAACCCCATGTTCGTATAGAATATTTGGCCAATATTTCTATCATTTACAAAGTTCGTCTGAGTGTTTTTAATGTGTCAAGACTGCACAACCTTACCATATTTTATGAACATTTTTGTATCAGAGTGTCGTGATGAATGAGTTGACCACAATATGAGCTTTTCCCTGTTGTAGATAAATAATTTTTGGAATATTTATCGGTTTCAGACTCGTTCTTCTCCTGTTCCACTGCAACTTTTGGTTGAGCGGAAGTTGGTGTCTAACATAGTCTCGCCTGCGATTACAGATGGCTTCAAGCTGGAGGTAGAGAAACTGCTTGTTGGCCTATCACCGTTCCAATATATTGTGCTGTTATTTCAGGTGATCATGGCTGGAATAGATATAGACCATAAGGAGGAGTTTTTCCGTGGAATAACTGCTTACGCTGATTTGGTGAGTTTCTTGCGTTCTCGCTTCACCATCGAAAAATATTTCTTCTAATGTATCAATTTATTTAAGAACTCTTCACCTACCGTGGCTCTGCGTTGGAGTCGCGTATATGAATTAGCGACCACCGTCAATGAAACGAAAACCAGTCCCCCCATACGGTTCACATGGCGAGGTCCTAATCAAAAAGCAATTGCTACTCAGAAGCTTCGTCCTTATGATTCTATTCGTGGGACCCAGTTTGCTTCCTTGAATCTACAGAAGCTCAACACTACAAATCTCAAGCCGGGGATGTGGAGCGTTGTCGTTCAAACCGGTAAGTCAATTGCTATTTTTGTTTCGAAATTATTTTATTTGTGTAGGTTGTGATGTTCCCCTTTTTCATTACTGGAAGCTTCCCCAATTCTATATTTTCGAGTCTATTCTTTCCTTCAACGTCAGAGTTGTTCATCAGGTTTGTTTAGATGCTGAAGGATCTTCGGAAATTCTTGGAAGTGTATGGTTTCCGATTTACTCAACCGAAAATCAAACACTGTTCCGGTCTCTAGTTCGTGATTTCTTCATAATCAAAGATAGCTGCGCCACAGAATGTTCGTCTACAACATGGAGTACTTTTCATCCTGATCCAAAGTCAGACATTTTAGTCGGTTTTGATAAGGAATCTCAAACTCTTGCCTAACTGTTTAACGGTGCGTCTTATTTGAGCCTAGTTTTCACCTCTTTCATAAGCGATAATTGTGATAAAACATAATCGTCCTCGCTCTTTCACTCTTGATGGTTTAATTGTCACTTAAATATCCTAGTATTGTCGAAGAGCGGAAATTCAGAACAGTTTCAATTCCCTACCGTAATCCTTCTTTTACTTCATACCATGCGAGTTATAAATTACTAATAACAATAATAATTTAATTAGT